CAGAGCATCCATAGCATTTTTTGGGACTATATCAACCATAGTTAATCTTATAAACATAGTTATTCAGCTAATAAGGCATCATAAGATGCTTTAACATCTTCATGATAAAAATCTAACAAATATATTTTTTTCTATCACCATCTGAAAAAGATTGGGAAGGCTTTTGTGGAAGTAATATTTGTAGATTGGTAAGTGCTGCATGATGAATTAAAAACCATTCATTTATTTGGGTTATAAATGCATCTGTATCTAAGATATACTCTTCCATTGATCCTATATTAATGTTTTAACGAAGAGCTTGCCTTGCTGCAAGTCGAGGGAGACAAATATGAAACACGTATAGCTCTGCTTTTGCCTCAACAATAACATATAAAATATGAAATTCTTCATCAACATTAATTTTCTTGAGTTCTAATAAAATGCTCTCCGCTATTCTAATCTTCTTAATTAAGTCAATGTCATATTTTTGAAAAGTAATATATAAAATAGTTGTATAATTAACTAATACATTCTAATGAGGAAATAAATTTGGAATATTGAATCCAATAATTTTCTTGCTGAAATATTTCTTTCAGGCCATTTATTTCAGTAATAGCAAATAATCGGCTCTTCTAACTCCATAAAGGCTGTTACTGCTTGATGGCGGAGACTCTATCTCTTGGACAAGGTTGCAATTACTTTCTCTCTGTTGGACAAGAAGTTTCAGAAATAATTATTATATGATTGGATATTTGAAATTGGTAGATAAATATCACGCCACTAAAAATTTGAAAATAATAAGTAAATATTACGCCGGAAAACTTGAAATCAAAAAATTGATAAAATACCTTAGTAGATGAATGTGATAATAAATGTAATTAAATATATATTTAATATGAGATAGGAATAAATATTAACAAATATAAATTAATATCAACAATAATATTTTTGAAAAATATATCCGGCATCTGCATTTTTTGGCTTGGTGGTTTTCCACGATAGCCCAGCTCCAAGTAGTGTTGTATATGATTATAAAAATTTGTAAAATCATGGAATAAATTGATGCATAATTTGATTTATATTGATTATTATATTGTGCTTGGTCTGATGACCTATATTTGGTTTTGAAGACCACGAAAAAATTTCAATGGGTTCAATTGGGTTCAATGGGGGGAAGTACTTAATTCTCTCTTTATAGACATCAATTAGATGACTTTTATGTATTGATGCATTATCCATAACTATAATGGCATCAGGTACACGGGCCAGGCCGTATTTTTATTTTTTAAATAAACCCCGGCCGGCTTAAATTTTTTTAAAAAAAATACCCGAACCGGGCTGTATATTTAAAAATTGAATTTTTTAATCGCCTAAAAATTTAAAATAGGTTTAATATATTAAAAAAATTTTTGGCCGGTCCGAAAACATTTTTTTAATAATACGAGCAGGGCCAGAGAAATTGTTTAACAAATAGTATTAGGCCAAGCCGGATAGTGCAAATGGTCCTCTGCAGGTCTCTGATAATCATTTATATCTTTAACCCTCTTTTATAATTTGAGAAAGTTTTATGAGTATTTATTTTGTCTAGATATTATTTTAAACATTGCTAAACAATACACTTCAATTATGGTAGTTAATATGAAAAAAAAATTTTTTAATATTGGAAAGAAAATTTAATGGCTGGTATTAAGCAGAGTTGTTAAAAGATACTTTCTAAATGGATCTAGATACAGATATATTATTAAAAAGTTATTCTAGACATAGATATAATTTAAAAATGTATCTAGATACAACAATTTTTATTATGCTCTTATATAAGGTTTGCATAAACCTAAATTAGGACTCTATTGTGAAAATTCATGAAACGAGCTAAAAGATTTATTGACTCGATATCACATTTATCAAAATATAACTAAAATAATGATAGATTTTAATATAATATATGAAAATTTATGATTAAATGATTATAAATAATTATTAGATTTCAGTAATAAAATATTTTCAAAATTTTGTAAGGCATCCTAGTTTATCTGTAAAAACATTTTTAGCTACACTAAAAAGTCTTTCTATCGGGGCGTTAAAGGGATTGTGGTGTTATATTATGAATAACAATTTTATAAAAAATACTAAAATCTCGACATTCATTTTTGAAAAAATTATTTAAAATTTATTGAGTATTAAAATTTAAATCATATTAACTATTATATCTGCTGCTGCGGGGTACTGAAAAAAAAATCGGATATTAAATTATTTGTGTATTTTCACAGGTTATTCGTTTGCAATCAGTTGTAGACCTTGATAATTCATCAACTAATATTTGTTGTTTGATGTTTTCCCTTAAAATTTAAAATTACAAATAACATTTATTTTGTATCTATACTCTTAGTTTTACAATGTTGCAAGTTGAGATAATGCTAACTGAAATTTTCGTATTTTGATATGGCAAACATTTTACTAACAGAGATTGTTTTCTTTATTTTGAGATATTATTTTAAAATAAGCTCTCTATAAATTGGCCATGGAAAAACAATGTCTGATCTTGTTGATGCTTCATTGATTATTACTTCTTCCTCTTCGTCACTATTAATATTAATATAAAGTAAATTTTCAAAATCTTAAAATTAGTATAATGAAATAAAATTAACTAATTCCATTGAAAATAAAAATGGCAGATTCCTTGAGATACATTGTAATATCAAAATTTGTCTGGTTTATTGATAAATTCGGACATAATAATATTTAATGAATATTTATATATATATTTTATTATATATAAATTTTAATATTTTAATATTATAGTAGTCTTAATATTTTTTAATATATATTTAAATTATATGCTCATATAAAAAAAAAAAATTTGCATTCAAGTATTTTTATTTATAATAAAAAAAAGGGTTAAACAATATAAAAATGTATCTTAAAAAGTATCTAATAATAGATACATATACCTCTAAAATAATATATAGAAATACAGAAACTTTAAACAAAAATCTATCTAGATTCAGATACCACATTTTATATCTAGATATTTTAACAACGGTATTTAGTATTTATACTAAAAAATCATAATCTTCTTAAGATCCTTATTTTTATATTTCCAAAACTAGTATTTTGTACAAATATTAGGGGTAATGTTGTTAAACCGCTCGATTTGAGCCAATTTTTAAAAACGGCTAACTCAATGTTTTATCCAGAAAATTATTACGCAAGCATAAATATTTTGCTCATAGATTTCAAGATAATGTCTATAAATAAAAACAAAAAATAAAAATTTTTTAAATAGCCATTTCCACTTTTTCGTAATAAGCAGTTATAGAGCTAATTATGGTTTTAGCTTATTCATTTTTTTTGAGATATTTAATATTAAATGAAGTGCATTTTCAAAATTTGGATTTTTAAAGATGGATAGTGTTGTTAAAAATCCAGATTAGGATCAATTTTTTAAAAATGGCCAAATTAAGATTTTAGCAAAAATAATATAAGTAAGCCTCGAGATTTGGCAAAATAGAAATTAATTTGCCATCTATGAGCAAAATCTCCAGGATTACATATTTTGGCTAAAATCTTAAAAGGGACGTTTTAAAAATTCACTAAATCTTGCTTTTAACAACAGTAATGATAGGCATATATCAGAAAGACCGATTTGGAAATTAAAATTTTGAAATTATATTAGTTAGTGAATAATGCAACTACAGGCATGTATATATTTTATCTTGATGCAAGCAATCATTATTGGTATCAAATATCGAAACCAACATTAATACTTAAATTATTGAGGCATCACGACTTATGTTGGCAAAATGCCAAAAATATATAAATATTATGGACAATTTAAAATATATTTATGTAGTTTTTTAGATCCACGGATCAAGAAAACTTTCATACCCTTAATAAAATATCTTACTATGAAAAGTTAATTGTTTTATATGGTATACCGTTATAATCAGTCGGCTGAAGGTTGATAATTTAGAATTGATGTCAACAATTGTTTTTGGTCTGTATATATATTTAATTATAATTATATATTTTTTCATTATACTATAACTATTTCAAGTGTTCTCATATAAAGATATATTAAATTTTAAAAAAAATCATTATCATTTTAGGAACGCATCGTTAGTTCCGATCGTTGACGAGATCGCGGAAATACCTAGCTGACCCAGTCGTCTCAGCCTCGGTTATGTGTTGGATTGGTGGAGAAGTAATTCCGTGCGTTTTCCCTACTTTACCATAATGGCTAAAGATTTTTTATCGCAACTGGTGAGCGTGTCATCTCGAGAGTGGACACTGTAACATTTTGGTATTTTATGGAGACTGAATATGTCCATAGAACATAATGTTTCGGCCCACAAATGTAGTGGTTGAGAGAATTTAAAGCATAAAATAAATAGTATAAATAAACTACTAATACTTTATTTATTAATATAAATACTAATTTCATAATCATAATTAAAATAAGAAATTAAAATTTAAAATTAAAGATTAAAGATTAAAAAAATTAAGTTGGTAAAATCATGATCCCTTTACAATAAAAATATCCTCGATTATATATACTTTTCTCTAATATTCATTTACATAATGTTTAAAAAATAAACTGAAATAATCTTGAACTATATTTAATCTGAATAATAAATCTTTTTTCTTCATTTTTCTTTAACTCATTTGAATATTACAACAGACAGCATTACGAAGAAAAAGAATCTCATGGCCCCAGAAACGGTTAAAAAATGTTGCTTAAATTCATGGAATATGAATATCATGAGTAGGCCTATTCAAAAACGAATTCGAATCGAATAGTGCATTATTCAATTTGAATTCGTACGAATAATAAAATCTACGATTTGTATTCTATTTTAATTTTTTTAATAAAATAAATCATGCTCAAATATATCGATAAATTTTTTTATTACAAATTTGATTTTAAACAGAAAAAATTATAATAATATGTAATCAATAATCTGATAATAAATAATATATAATCAAGTTATAAACAAAATTAAAATATATATTATTAATTTAATTTATAATTTAAGCCAATTTTTAAGGCAAAGAGTTTTTCTTATATTTTCTTCCTTATGTGACATGCGGTTTTTTGACAATAAATTAGTTCCAACTGAGAAAAGCCTTTCACAAGCAGTTGATGTTCCTTGTATAGATAGATAATCCCTTGCCATTTTCGAGAGTATGGGGATCCCATATGCATTTGCCTTCCACCACATTAACGGGTCAGTATCACTCTTTGCTCTTGGTTCACTCAGATAAAAATCTATTTCACACAGTTGAATATTATTTTGTTTAAAAACAATGTCTAGTCTGTTTTGTTGAATTTTATCCTTATTTGTTTGACAGTTATAATTATGAGCTTATAAAATAAAATCATATTTAAATGGTGGTAAATTAAATACCTGTATATCTATTGTAAATCTCTTTAAATTTGTCCATTAACTTGGATATATCAATATCATATTCAACAGATATTGATTTAAAATATTCTACTTTAAGATTGGGATCTAATATTGTGGTTATTATTGCATCATCGGCAATTAAATTATAATAGCCCAACAATTTATCACATGCTATTTGAAACTATTGTTAAAGGATTTATGGAAACCAGGTTTTTCATTTTTTAGATGTTCAAGAATTAAAATATAATAAGGTATAACCAAATTATAAGTAGGATAATTCTCCCCACATACCATATTTTTAGTTTCATATAAAGGCAATAGTATAGCTTTAATTTTTATAAGATCCTCCCATTCTTCCTATATGTTATCAAAGTATTATATTATTACCTAATTATAAATTTTAGTTTACCTCTGATATTTGTTTTTCTTGAAGAATTTTAATGTTAGTTATTACTTCATTAACTAATTTTGTTATAGCAGGCTTTAACAACAAGCCCCTTTCAATCATTTGATAGGTGCTATTCCACCTTATTTCACAATCCAATTGGTTGGATGTAGGAAACTGCATATAATTTTTAATAAATTTAATTTTTGAGGGGAATTACGAATCATTCTAATAATGTTTCTTAGTTTTAGAATTGAAGGGTCTAAAATTTTTAAAATTTCTTTGGATATTAAATTAATTACATGGGCTCGGATGTGCCCTATTTTTATTAAGGGATATTTTAAAGAAAATGTATCAATAAATGTTTTATTATTAGTTGCATTATCTAAAGTTATATAAAAAATTTTATTCTCTAAATTATAATTTTTAATTATTTTGACAAAGGCTTTAAATATATTTTCACCTGAATGTGTTTCATTTATTGAACTGACATCCAAAATTATGTTATTTATTTTAAAATTATCATCTAAAATGGGTTGTTAGCCCTAAAAAAGGAACCTGTGTTGGGCTAGTCCAAATGTCAGATGAAAAATTAATCTGACTTTTATTTTTAGATATTATTTCCTTTACCAATTGTTCTTTTTCTGCAAATGTATTATACATGTGCAATTTAAGAGTATTGGAGCATATTGATTTTACAGAACAATCAAGATCACTTATAAAATTTTTAAAATCATTAGAATTAATAATTTTAAAAGGAATATTATGATTTATAAATTTAATAAATTATCCTTAAAATTAATTTTTTTTGAAGAATTTGGTGTAGACTTTAAAAAAATGTCAATTTTATTATTTTTTTACTAAGGTGTGAATGAACCTATTATAATGATTAATAAGAGGATATGTTGTTTTGCCTTTACATTTTATAATACTCTTGCAATGATTGCAAGCAGCCTTTTCCCTATCTTTAAGGATTTGATATTGATCCCATATGATTGCTCTCTTTTGTGAGGAAATTTTCTCTTCAACAAGCATAATTTCATCAGAAGCACTCTCCTCTAACATAATTAGGCTAGCTAACAATAATTATTGTAGAAATGTAATATATTTTTATGTACTAAATGATTATTCGTATTCAGATAAAACAAATAATTTATTATTCGTATTCGTAATTATTCGATTAGATTCGAATTATTCGAATCGAATATTCGAATTATTTTTGAATAGGCCTAATCATGAGTAATCAATATTGGATATAATTTTTGTTAAATATATATTTTTTTTTGTATAAATAAATATTATAAATAATCTAAATAAAATATTCTACAAGCTTTGGACACTTTAGAAAAATTTTGTAATAAAAAAAAACTCTTTTTATAACTATAAGAAATTTTTAAATTTTTTTCTTTTAAAATAAATTTATTTAAATTTCACACATCAAATTTGAAAATGTGATTAACTTTGAACTAGTTTTGTTGAATTAGTACGCTACTTTTTTCAGTAGCCGTAGCTTTAGCACGTTAAAATAGCTAGAACGGTAGCTTGCTACTATTATAGAGCGTTACTTCTCTATAGTGTTATTAAATGGTTCGATTTGAACCGATACGACTACCTCAATATTTTATCCAGAAGAATATTACGGGAGCCATTTTTCTTATAGATGGTACAATGGACTAGATATATATTAGCGTCATCTATGGCTTAGACATTATTTTTCTCGCTAAATTATTGATATGACCGTTTTTAAAAATCGGCTCAAAACTATCCATATTACAGCATACTTCGCTACATTCAATTTCATATAATAAATACACATACAAGTTATTAAAATATATTTCTAATTAATTCTTAAATCATAATCTTTTTATTTTATTAAATTTTTAAATTAATATTTAGAAATCTGCATAATATTTCGACGATAGAGATTGATATTGAAGATAAATTAAGTACATTATTTCCTTAGAAAATGATGATATGTAATTTAATTTTCATTATATCGCATAAATTTTAATCTCGACAAATATTCAAAGAATTATCTTTATTTTGAAAAATCTGATCATTTTCACGAAGATCTTCATTCATTTCCTCATCAAATTTTTTTTTATCTTTTTCAGAAAATATTCTGGTATGTATGTTGGATAAAGGAATTAAGTTTGCTCTTTCTTTATCAAAATCTTTTCTCAAAAAATAAGTTCTAGCATTCTTCCTTTGTTTCGATCTAATTTTATCCAGAGTCAATCCAATTTAAATAGCAAGTGAATTATTGCGGATAGAATATCATCTTTAGCGATGTGTTTCAATCTATTGAAAATAAAATATAATCAAAATATAAATTGTAAGCAATATTTGAACTGGATACCTTTCATCTATGCCTTCCAGGATTGAATTAATAAGCGGCTTACAAAACTTAAAATTATTTAAAGCCATTTCTTTAAAGTTTTAATATTATATTAGTCATTGTGGGAGTGAGATATCATAAATGTATTCTTTCTTCACTCTCTAAAATTAAAAGAGCCGGAACAATCGGTTCCATAACCTATAAAATCTTATATATACATAACATATTTCATAATTAACACTAACCATACAATATTCATCCATGAACGACTTGTCATTATCTGAAAATCTCTGCAATTTCAATATGTTACAAGAATCGTCAAATTTTTGGCAATTCTCCTTAATAAGACTATCTATTAATTTCAAGGAGTTATAAAAAAAGTTCCATCTTGTTATTAGTTTAATCAGATATCTACCGCTGCACAGTTTGAAGATTGTCCATGTTTATTCCACAAAAGATTACACTTAGAAAATGTAATTTTTGAAATGGTTTTAAAATAAAATCATCACCTGCCTTTTCGATGTCAACACTTGCAATAAAATTTAAAGTGTGGTGCTGAACAGGAATGATGCTTAGGTCAGTATAAAATACTATCATTAGTATTTTGATTTGATCAAATAATGGCAGAGGAACTATTTATCATCCGATTCCTCTCCTACTTAATATACTTTATAAATTTTTAATAAATATATTATAATTTTTTTACTTAAAAGTTTTTATATAATTTCTAGCGTCGGTAATGCCTTTGGTCACTTTATTTTGTATTTTATATGTGGTAAAAATTTCAAAGATTATTTTTGCTAGATAATAAAATGTGTGTTTTTGGTTTAGCCTTTTACAAGCTAAGCTAGCTGAAACCTTCTCAAGAGTGTCTGGTTGTAGCCAGTGTACCGGCACTAAATATGACTTTTTAAAAGACAATATTAATCTATAAAATCTATATTTTATATACCGATGATAAGCTGACAAAGATTCCATAGTTGTACAGACAATTTTTGGGATACACAATAAATCTACTAATTTCTTTGCCATGGTGTCATGTGCTTTGTTAATTTTTAATACGAAGGTAGGCCAAGATATCACATTTTTAGTTGGCTGGAATTTTTCATAATATTAATAAATGCAGTGCTTTCTACAATAGAAAATGGTTGTAATTCTTCAATTACAAATTTAAAACTAATTCATCAACATCTGATTGTACTATCTTTATCTTTGATATAGATGGATTCTGCATCTCATGAGTGTGAGTTGATTGGCTTCAATTTTTTTATAATCTCTTTCATTTTTGAGGAATGTACAGTCTATAATTTTTTAATAAAATTTTTTCCTGAATTTTTTATTAAAAATAACTTAGCTTTTTGATAATTTAAGATAAATCTTTTAAAAATTTAATTGCATTTTTTTAATCCCTCACTAAGCTTATTGTCAAGGAAAACATTAAAAATTGAAATTATGATTGTCAAGGATAATTTTTCAATTCTTATCTTTTTCAGAATTCAGAATCATCATTTAAAAAGGAATCAGGAAAAATATCTAGGTTCAGTTCTCTAAAACAATATTGCCCCATAGTTTTACTCCAGGTATATATTTATTTAAAAATACATATTTATTTAAATAAAGTTTTTTAAAATCCCTATTTTATTCTTTAAATTTTTTATAATTTAAAGTTAAACCAATAGCAAAACTAAAACAAGAAATAGAAGATATTGTTTAAACCCAATATAATATTTTGAACCAATACCGATATTTTGTTAATCTTAGGTTTTTAATGTTGGTTCCCAGCATTATAATTTAATTGCTTATATTTTAATTTCATGATTAAGCTTTTTAAAATATTATGAAAGATACTTCTTTAATGGATATCTTATCCATGTTTTAATATTCTATTAAAAGTAATGATTAAAATAATAATATATCTTATCTTATCTTATCTACGTTGGTCATAGACCTGCCCAAAATGAGCGAACGTGAATTTTATGAAGGCCCACCCTTCATAAAATTATGCCGATTTTTTTCTCAAGGATACCAACAAACCTTGTACCCAGTTGTAGTTTAACTAAATGAGTGGAACTTACCCTTCCCGATATTGTAATTGTAATTTAATAATTAATAATAAAAAGACATATATCTTATCTGTTTTTTTTAGTCTTGAATAGTTAGTTCATGATAAGGAGTGAGTTAAGAATATTTGAATCTATAGACATCAAAATTCCATTTCATTTGTTAGGTTATATTCTTCCAAAAGATGAACCGGAAAATCTTCGCCATTTGGTATAGATAGATTCATATCTGGTTTTCATAATTAAATTTTAATTCATCTTTTTACCATCGTATGCTTTTTTAAGTTTGAACTACAAAGTGTAGATTTTGTACCTTTAATTTTCTTTATTTTCTTTTTAACTTTCACCTTTTCTGTGGTATAAAATATATTTCAAATTGGGGCCAGGGAAGTAAATCATCTTCATCTGAAAAAGTACTATATTCATAATATTCCTAAAATAAATTATATAATAGAATAATAATATTATTATTAACATTTGAATTTTGATTGAATATTAATTAGATTAACATTCGACTGAAAATTTAACAACGAGAATTAAAAAAATAAATAAAGGAATAGTGGTTGATATAAATTAAAAACTCGGCTTAAATCATTTATTAAAAATACATAAAAGTAATTTTATAGTACAAATATGTTTTTAGTTTTTAAATATTTTTTAAGAAAAATTTTAAAGTAGTGGAATAACGTTTTGCGTTACCGCTACTCAAAAAAAAGAAACGCGTTACCATTACTCATTACCTCTAGAAGAAGTTAACGAATGGCGTTCCTCTTCTTCAATAAAGGTAACGAAGTTAGTAACGACTTTACTTCTTTGACGTTACTTTACAGCATTAATAATATTAAATTTTGTTCATGATTGACGTTTTTATTATAAAATGTATATCTTGCATAGAATATACAAAACGAGAACATAAAATCATTCATAGTAATATATTTAAATCATTAACTAATTATTGCCGACAGCTTTTTATCAATTATTTATTTTTTACTTTATCGTATTTACTTTATTATTTCGAAGTTCTTTGATGAATATAGACAGTGGTGTAGCAAAGATTTTTGAGTAGGAGGTGGCCAATATTTCCAATTTTTTTTTTTACATTTGCTTTGGAAACTTTAATTATAATAAATTTCTTATTTAATAACTTTATTTTAATATCTAATATTTATTTGATTAAAATTTGAATAAAAACGCAAGGATTCAACAAAAAATTATAAATTTATTTTATATGAATATTGAGTTTTAATGTGACTTTTATGGCTAAAGAATAGTGCCTGCATGACAAAAAATTATTTAGAAACATACCTCCTCCAAATCATCCACCCAACCCCACCCCCAGACGTGATAAAAAATTTTGACCCCGTAGATATTCTAATTCATGGCGTCATGTTATAACAACTACATGATATTAATTTTAAAAAATATTATAAGAGCCATCATTTATAATCTCCCAACAAATTCTAATTAAAACTATTTCAGGCCTCATCATAATTCTAATTGAAACTATTTCAGGCCTCATAATTCAGGCTAGGGATAACAAAGAATATTTGATGTTGATAATCAACATAGGGGAGACTGTGGTAAAAGAATTGGTGTTTTCCATTTTTACCATAATATTTCGAAAAATTAACAAATTAGTGCAAATTATATATTTTTATATAATCAAATCCCTCATCTACAAAATAAAAAAAGTGCAGCTCTTTCCCTATAATCCTTTAGAAGCTGTGATTAATTATATGAAATTTGATACCATACCCAGAGTAAAGTGGTTAAGCACCATGGTAAAGTGGTTAAAATAAAATTGAACATAACTATATTATTGAACAAAATATTGCAATTTGGACATCTATTCACCACTTTTAATATAAACTAATCAATATAATACCGAATTTACAAGATTATATCAAAAAAATTTTGAATGTTTTTATTTTAGACACATCATGCATTTCAATTATTGTTTTTCTTTGCAACTATTTATAAAATTTTATTCCAAATAACACATAGACTATTTATTAATATTCATTTTTGCACAACAGTATCTTTTTTTATGGTAGACGTTAATATTTAAAAAATTATCTTTTTTTACAGCATAAATCAGAGGGAAAATTTTAACCGTTTTACCCATAGCAACTTTTACCCCAGCTATAAACTTCCGATAAATTTCATTTTATAGCTATAAAAAACATGTATACGAAATAAATATCTATTAATAAATTAGATTCTTTTATCAGATATTTTTATCTTTAATCAACAAATTATGTTTATTTTTACTTTACCCATTCCCCTTTCAAAGAAATTGGCAGACTGCTCCTACATCCTATATCATATAATTGGTGCTAAGGAGTAAAAATGAGAATAATAAAAAGGTGTTTAAATATCACAATATAGATTACACTTGGTAAAAAAATAATATTAATTATATTTAAAAAAAAGGTATTGTATATTAAATAAATAATAATGGTGCTGGTTTAAATATTAGAATTATATCAGAAATAAAGTATTGTGTATAAAAATCTTAAAAAATAAATCAGAATTAGAATGTTTATAAGTAATATCTAAATTTTTAATATTCTCAGCGGGCTTTTAGTCATTTCTGATATAGTTCATATATTTTAGTGTGCCAGCAATGTCTTATTAGCTTATCCATGAAAGATATATTTAAAATAGACTAAATGTCTTAGGGTTTTATATAGTACTTTCAATTTATTAATTAGATTTTTAGAACATTGATGTTGAAATAAGAGCTATAATAGATGAACACCCATGATCTTTCACCATAGAGCCTGTTTCTTAGAAATACCTGTGGATTATGTTTCACACATTAGCCCAAAGGAACTACTTTAACTTTAAAAATTATTTAGATGGCGCGTTGACCTTAGGTAAGAAAAGTTTTTTATGCATATTTATGTCATACATCAATTAGGCGATCAAAGGCGGAGATAAACTTTTGGCAGGCTGCGATAAAAAATGCATTTATAATGTAATAGAAATAAAAAAAAGGATTAACTCTATTAAAAAAAATGATATGACCTCGCGCAAGATCTGAAACATAGGTACCATGCAGTGATTGAATCCGAGTATTGCTGCCTCGGTCCATGCCTATATTCTCTGAGCCATAGCTGACATTAAAAAAAAAATTAAAAAAAAAATACATCATCCATAAAAAATTTGAAAAATTGAATTTATGAAAGATAGGATTTGATAAAAAAAATGGAGAAATATAATTTTTTGCAATATGCATGCAGCATAATTAAAGTAAAATAATTACAATTTAAATAATTTTGCATATAAATATTAAATATTTAAATTTTTATAAAAACAAAATTTTTTTTTGACCCTGACCACTTCTTTAAGAATTAATTTCAAGGTCTGTCTTCATAAAAGTTTATAGGGCTCTTTAGGCCAGATCAGGTCTTTTAACTATCTTTTTTTTGCTATATGTGTTAATAGAATTTTTTCCTTCACCTTTTCCTAATTTTTAAAAAAAAATTAATTATTTATATTTTTTTAGATGAACTCCTTTATTATTTTATTATTTAGTGCACATTTATTTGTCACAGATTTGTCTTATTTTTTTATAAAGAAAAATTTTAATTAATTTTTTCAAAATATAAATTTTATAGATTATTTAAAAAAAATATTTTAAGAAAAAATGATCAGAATAGAAAATATTATCAAGATAATATTGCTTGTATTGCTTTATTTTCATGTGGCTCTAAGTGGAATCTCATCAAAAGTAAAAATATTGAAATAACGCTTAATTTTTGGAAATCAGTTCTTGAAAAATTATTTATTTATTTACCTAAATAAGGATATGATAGTTAGTTATAGAGGATTGATATTATGCTGGAAATTTATTACCTCAAAATTTGGTTTCCAAATTTTTCTTTTTAAATTCACTAGAGCAAATGAGATGGAGAGAAACGAGTAACAAAATTAAATCCAATAAAATAGATAATTTCATTTCAAAATACTCTGCCATTTTGATCACAGTGAAAAAAGCATAAATAATTATGTTTCTTCTAGAAACTAAAAGGCAACTAATTTTTATTTTTTAATATAAAACTTATTCAGATAAATTTATCATTCCAACTTTTGATATCCTTATTATTATTTAAAGAAGTTTCGATATACTTCAACTAGCACAAAAAGATCGTATTTGAATCTCGATATTTCTAAAAATCGCAATGCAAGATAGGAAATATAAAAAATAAATCGCTATCTAGATTCTGCCTTTTTTAAACTACCCCCCCCCCCTCCCCAGATAAAACATTTTTTTTCAATGAGGCATTTTTTATGATGAATCTATGCAAAACATGATTTTACCTTTGATTAGATCACAATGAAATTAATATAGATATTAAAAAAATGAGGAAAATTAAAAATTTTTAAATTTACGTTTCAAAAAAGAATAAAATTTCAATTCAATTTATCAAATATTTAACGCATGTTTAGTAAAAAAACTTGTAAAAGGATCTAAATATGAATCAAGGATTTCCATCATATTCACGATCCTGATTGACGCGCGTATACATGACAGGACTTTTATTAAATGCAACCCTCCTCCCCCTCTCAAAACTATATCTTCCCTTCCCCTAAAAAATTTCACCTCCCATTTACTTTTCATATAACGCTCTATTAGAGTTACTTTTTAGAAAATGAATTCAACTAAAAACCCCCTCATTTACAACAATGCATTATTATATAAATTGTTTGATATGAATATGAATATGAATTTGCTGAGAATGTCTAACCCTTTTAAATTATATTTAAAATGATAGCAGGAAATTTTATTTGGAAAATAATGTCTATGATTGTATGCAATATATAGATAGATTTGTTCAAGGTTTAGCAATATCATTGAATTTTAATAGGTGTATAATAAAAGTATTAATTTTTACAGCAATACATTTTGCCCTATTTCATCTAATTATTTAATAGATAACCTCCCAATAAATTTATCCTAACCCTATCCTACCTCTTAAAGGCCTACCCCCCCCCCCTCAAAAAAATTAAAAGCAAACTGTTCCTACCCTCTCCCCCCCCCCCAGATAACGCAGTTAGTTTTAAGGTATCATCGATCTAATTTGCCGAATCAAATCGTTGTGTCTCACAGGAGAAAATAATTATAATACTTATGTTATATTGGATTTAATTTAGCAACGTGATATTTATTAATATCAAATTAATTTTCCTTACATTGTCGCTGGCATGTAAAAGATATTTTCCAATTGTATCTATAGATACAGATTCATGGACAAAAATATAACCTAGATACAGATACAATTTTTAATCATGTGAAGTTCGGATATTGTCAAAATTGGAAATTTTGTTACAACTTAATTGTGGATAGAATCAAACATATCATTTATTAAGTTTAATATTTTATTAAATAAATATAATATATTATTGTGATTTTAATGATTAAAAGTCTCATATTTTTCACCACTGAAGCATTCCTGTTTAAAAACCTTTTAGCTACACTAAAAATCCATGGTGCACTGGAAGGTAGGGTAGTGTTATACTTTATGAATAACACCGTTTAGGATAATCTTTTAACATAATAAAATCACAACACTTATTTCTATAATCATTCAGTTTGATTGATTAAGATGTATATCCTTATTCATATCCTCATGGTGGAGTGGGGGGGGGGGGGGGGTGTAAAAAGAATAGAAAATTTTTGGATTGTTTTCCCTGCGATTTTCTTGTGCACTTTTAACTGGCCCACTTTGTTAATTCCAAATAAAAATATTAAATTTTATCAATTCAATTATAGATTCATGATAAAGATCGTCTCAATTTGATGTGGGACGAAGATGACGATAGGATAAATGACGAAGACATAGATGGCGGTTTATCGGAAAAGTTAATAATGGAAGTCGAAAAAGGTAACAAGTGTTAATAGTATACACTTAAATTTGTATCTAAAAATTAATTGAATGAGTTTGGAAACGTGGGTTAATTGTTTATATTTATAATATGATAAAATACAATCTAAGCCTTAGAGCTCCCTATAATTATGCCATGTATTTTCGATTTTTTTTTAGTCAAGGTAAAAAATTAATTAATTATTCATTATAATTCTTATAAAACCATATTTCATATTTGCATGAATTTACAATGAATTTTCTATATTTAGGCTATTTAAAAATATCGCGATTTAGAATTTATAAACGTGTCCCATATTAACTTCTCAAGTAAAAAAAAAAGCAAACTATTTCAATATATTAATAATAAATAGCCTGAATCCATATCTAGATACTAACTTTTTGTTTAGAATTAAAATTCGCATATTATATATAAAAAAAATTAAATTAAAATTTAGATATTATAATAAAATCTTTAAATGAGGTCATATGAAAAAATATTATTTTAAAAGGTGTCATAAAAATTGAATAAGACTAGGTTTATAATTGTAATTATGTAATGTAATATTCAAAGATTTATAGCATGATTTTGGTAATATTACCACCGATTTAGACAATGACCTATTTCTAAAAATATTTAGAATAGATATAAATTATATTTATTAAGCATAAGTTTAAAAAAAAAATATGAGCATAATTAGTACATTTATAATGACAATATGATTATTTAAAAATGTTTTTTTTTTGTTTATTCAATAATGATATATTAGCTTCGAAAAATAGCTACGAAAAATATTATTTAGAATAATCCTGCAAGACTTTATATTCAATGATATCTGAGATTCATCCCTTTCATTGGCGTACGCAGCGGGGGGGGGGCAGGGGGACAAATCCTCCCCCAAAGCCAAAAAATGCAGATGCCGGATATATTTTTTAAAAATATTTTTGTTTAGAGTGTTGTGCAGATTTAATTTAAAACATTTCAATATTTTTTAATTCGTTTGTAAATAAGAATTTTAACTTGTAAAAATTGATAAGAATATATCAATATGTTATTTTAACAACTTTTTACAAGTCAAATAATTTTATTTTCAAATAAATTAATAAATATGGAAATGTTTTGAATTAAATTTAAACAGTACTATATTAATTTATATTTGTTAATATTTATTCCTATCTCATATTAAATATATATTTAATTACATTTATTATCACATTCATCACTAAGTTTATCAATTAATTTCGATTTAAAGTTCTCCGGCGTAATATTATCTTATTATTTTCAAATTTTTAGTGACGTAATATTTATCTACCATTTTTAAATTTCTATTCAAATAATAATTATTCTGAAATTGTCCAACAGGGAGAAAGAAATTGCAACCTTGTCCTACGAGATAGAGTCTCCGCCATCAAGCAGTAACAGCTTTTATGGAGTTAGAAAAGCCGATTATTTGCTATTACTGACATATCACAATGGCCTGAAAGAAATTTTTCCTTAGAAGCAAGAAAATTATTGGATTCAATGCTTATTCCAAATTTTTTTTCTCATTAGAATGTACAACTATTTTATGTATTACTTTTCAAAAACATGATGACTTGATTAAGAAGATGAGAATAGCGGAGAGCATTTTATTAGAATTCAAGGAAATTAGGGCTAATGTTTATGAAGAATTTCATATTTTATATTTATTGTTAAGTCAAAAGCAGAGCTCTACGTGTTTAATATTTGTCTCACTTGACTTGCAACAAGGCAAGCTCATAGTTAAAACATTAATATAGGATCAGTAGAAGAGTATATCTTAGATACAAATACATTTATAAACCAAATAAATGAATGGTTTTTAATTCATTATGCTGCACTTACCAATCTGCAAATATTATTTTAATATAGAAAATAAAATATTTGTTGGATTTTTATCATGAAGATGTTAAAGTATCTTATGATGCCTTATTAACTGAATAACTATGTTTATAAGATTAACTATGGTTGATACAGTCCCAAAAAATGCTATGGATGCTCTGCATTATTTCAAACACATTTTAGATTATATTCCCAATGTATTAAAAGGGTTTTAGCAACTCTTCCCAATAGTAAACTAATGAAAGAACATTCTCTTTTTTAAGAAGAATAACAGAGCCCTGCAGAAGTACCATTTGCAGGGCACGACCCGGATTTTTTTTAAAGATTTTGGCTAAGCTCAATTTTCAGGCCCGACCCGGCCTTTTTTAAAATAAAATTTTCAGGCCCGACCAGGATTTTTTAAAAATAAATTATATTTATATTTGATTTTTATAGCTAATAATAACGATTTCAAATATAGGCTGTTTTAAAATATACAGTCCGGCCCGGATATTTTTTTAAAAAAATTTTCAGGCCCGGCCTAGATGTTTTTTTTAAAAAAATTCAGGCTCAGCCCTGGTGTTTTTTTTAAAAAATTTCGGACCCGGCAATACGGTCCGGCCCGGGGCGCGGGCCTGCAGGTCTCTGAAAAACATACCAAGAAGTACAACTTTTGAAAGTAGATTGAAAGGTTTGGATCTTTTGAATATACATAGACATTTGACAACATGCAAGGATGAGATAATTGAAAAAATAGCTCAATCCCAACGAAGATTGGATTTTACATTGTAAATATATAACATACAAAATACAATTATTCCCTAAGCTTTTTGTGAATTTATATTTCTAACATTTAAATTTTTTATACTTTATATATAAATTTTAAAGCTCAAAAAATTCAAATTTCTATTTTGGGTCATTTAAGTGATTCTTTACATATAATTTTTTTATAATTCACATTAATTTAAAATTGTGTATTAGAAATAGTTATTAGTCCTAATAAATGTATGCTTGATATTTTTAAAAACAATAATATTTCTTTATCCCCCCCCCCCCAGACCAAATTCCTGCGCACGCGGCTGATCCCTTTAATTAACATATTTTAATTCATAAAATAAATTTTTAAGCTTCAATTAAATGTGAACTTAGGTAAATATAATATTATTCTAAATTGGTTAAGAAAGAAGGTTCCACAATACATGCTTATAAATGAATTTGTAATGTTTTAAAAGTATATCGAAGATTTATTTTGTCTAAATTAGTTTTTGCCAGAGGGTATACTTTTTTTAAAATCACTGTCTTGTAAATAGATCTGAATGAGTGGAACCTTATAATGATCGCGATATAAATATTCAAGAATAAATTATATCCGTTCAGATGTGTAAGTTTTGTATCATAGATTAACTATATTTATTATCTTCCTTTACCTTTAGAAACTGGGGCATGTCAACCAGGCACGTAGAACCATTTATATCATTAAATTAAAACTTTTTAAAGTGTTAGTTTTTATTAGATCATAAAATTTTATAATTAAGTGTTACCTTTCCAAAAGATTATTAAAATATAATTTTAATTTTTTTTTCAATATGATTTTGTGTGATGTTACTATGTTCAACCTTACCAGTTTTTTTGACCTTTTGAGATATTAGTCAATAAATTTTGTTAATATTAACAGCTTTCATTGGAGTTTTTACAAAATCCGACTAGATGTGCCATCTTCCTATTACAATTTTATAAGCCAGATAGACTTTAGAAAATCTATTATATAGTCATCAATTTGTTAAAATTTATCTTAAATAGGCCAACCTTCTAAAGATATGCGGGACACACTCACAGATACTCTTGTTGATAGTGATGAAGACGATTCTCCTAATATTAACCCATCTGCTTTGTCTAAGCGAGGTATCATTTATACTATATATTCAAGGCAAAGTTTAATACAAATTTTTATTACTGATAAAATAAGAATCAAGAGCAAAAAAATCCGGTTGGTGGAAAGAGCCGACATGGGCACCCAAAACCACGACACGCCCTACATGGACAGAAAGAGTTTGGTACAGCAAGACAACACCCCAACAACCACCAAAATGGCCTCAAAAATGGCAACCTAAGAAATGGGAACCATCTACTAGTCCCCCTTGTCCTTCGTTACCATCATTGTGGATGAGTACCAAAAATCCTTGGGCAGTTAATAGTTGGCCTGCTACAACTACCTCTAATAAGTGGCAACCTGACGAATCATGGAAAACTAAGGCATGTGTTGCTTGGCAAACTAAAAAGTATAAATGGGTTACAACCCAACCTCCAACTACAGAGGACTGGCCTAAGCCGGCATGGACTAAACCAACTTCTTCTAAACCTGTCTGGAACCCCTGGACTGCTCCACCTGCCCCTATTAAATGGCAACCTGATTCATGGAAAGCTGACCCATGGAATGCGTGGAAATCTAAATCCCAACCTCCAACTACAGAAGAAACTTGGCCTAATCAAGTATGGACTAAATCAAATAAAGGGTGGAAACCATCTTCTCCTAAACCTGACTGGAACCCATGGGCTGCTCCACCTGCACCTAATAAATGGCAACCTGATAAATCATGGAAAGCCGAGGAGACTACTGAAGAATCTTGGCCCAAGCAAGTATGGACTAAATCAAGTATGGAGTGGAAACCATCTTCTTCTAAACAGGGTGGGAACCCATGGGCTAATTCACCTACCCCTAATAAATGGCAACCTGATGAGTTATGGAAAGGTAAATCATGGAATACATGGGAGTCTAAAAAGTATAAATGGATTACTACCCAACCTCCAACTACAGAGGAAACTTGGCCCAAACAAGTATGGACTAAACCAAGTATCGTGTGGAAACCATCTCCTTCTAAACCTGATTGGAACCCCTGGGCCACTCCTGCCCCTAATAAATGGCAACCTGAGAACTCATGGAAAGCTGACGCATGGAATGCATGGAAATCCAAAACTCAACCTCCAACTACAGAAGAAACTTGGCCCAGTCAAGTATGGACTAAACCAAGTAAAGGATGGAAGCCACCTCCTACTAAGCCAGACTGGAACCCCTGGGCTGCCCCACCTTCCCCTAATAAATGGCAACCTGATAAATCATGGATGGTTGACGCATGGAATGCATGGAAATCTAAAACTCAACCTCCAACAACAGAAGAAACCTGGCCCAGTCAAGTATGGACTAAACCAAGTAAAGGATGGAAGCCACCTCCCTCTAAGCCAGACTGGAATCCTTGGACTCCTCCCAAACCCCCAAAGCTTGATAACCCATGGCAAAAAAAATCCTGGATTCCGTCAAGTAAAGCACCAGCTCCATGGTGGCCAAAGAGTACCCCTTCAACTGTAGCACCTTGGAGCCCTAATCCATGGAAATATCCTGAAAGTTGGAAATCTAAACCAAGCCCCTCACAACCTGTAAAATCGTGGACTTGGCCAGGATCTTCATCACAAACTTTTGAGCCTGAAGCACCTAAATGGCCTCAAATCCTGCAAATATCAAAATTTTTTTTTAACCACGCTAATTCTAATAAAAAAAAACCATCTTCTGATAAAGTATGGGTAATGTCGGATAGTTGGAACAATGCATGGAAACATCCCCAAACATCTAAAGATGAAGGATCTTCATGGAGTTCTAAGAATAAAAACTGGAAACGAGACTATTTATCATATCTTTTGAATAAAGATAGTAGAAACGAATCGCTTAAAGATGAAGATGATTTTGTAACTCATTTTATAGATCCTGATCTTATACCTTTAGAGGGAGCTTAATTTTTGAATAGCTTTTGTCTTACCATGGATATCAAGTTTTTTTTATTTAATCTTTTTTCTTGGGGGGCGATTAAGAATTTATTAATTATTGTATAAATTAACTGATACCTTAACCATAAAATTTGTTTTCAATACGCAATATATAATACGGTTTGTATACGATATATATATTTATATAAAGAAAATTTATGATGAAAATAATAAATCTTATCATAAACAAAGTGAAATATTTATTCATTTAAATTTATTTCCGGACTTTACCCTGTAACTATGGGACTTGAAATAGGGTACCAGTCTCTTCATTCTGAAATGTTTACATCTCTAATATGTGAAAAAGGAAGGGGAATGTTCAAAATGACTATCTATCCAGTAAATGTGATCTGTATATAAAATAGTTCAAATTATACGATTTAAAATATGAATTTTGTTTTTAAATGCCTAGATAGGATAAGATAAAATTAAAGAAAAATATTTTCTAAAAAAATACAATTCAAAATATTATTTATAAAATAAGAACATGTAAGCATAAAATTATTTATGAATATCTTAGAAATTGAATATTATATAGCTTATCTAGAAGTAAGCCTAGTTATATTAGGGTTTATACTATTTAATTGGTTAATGATAATAAAAATATAACAATTTCTAAACACCGACCAAAATATAATCAATAAGACCATCTATGTTTTAATATATATTAACGGGATGACATGGTAGAGTCCGATCATTTATAGGGGTGTAAAGTAAAGTAAAGAAAGTATCGTCATTAATAAGGGCGTACCTTTTTTGGAGAAAAGGAACGCATTTGTTACCTTCTTCTAGAGGTAACGAGTAACGCGTTATGTGAGTAAAGGTAATACAAAACTTACTTTTACTTTAAATTTTTCTTGAAAAATTGTGTTTAATTTAAATCCCAAATTCATTCATTTTTAATTTAAAATTTCCTTATTAAATTTTCAGTCATGACTTTTAATCTAATTAATATTGAATCAATCAAGATATATTAATTTATATTCTTATTCTCTAATATTAAAATTTATTTTATAAATAATATTATGTCAAACATATTTTTTCATAAGATAATTAAACCCTACCCCGACCCCAATATAAAACATTTTTTACACCAATAAAGAAAATTGTGGGTAAAATGTCTACACTTTGTAAGTGTAAATTGTGTAACAACTCTAATATTTCAACCTCAATGCAGTCTTCAAACTGTACAGCCATTTTTAAGGATGGGAAGATTTCTGATTACATCAATTATAACAAGATGGAACTCTTTTTATGACTCCGTCAAATTAGTAGATAGACTTAATGAGGAGAAACCCACAAATTTGACGAATCTTATGATAAATTCGAATTACAGAGAGCAGATAATAATAAGTCGCTCAAAGATAAAAATTCTATGGCTAGTGTTAATTAGTGCTGTAAACATTTCTAAAAAAAATTGAACGCGTTCGCTCAAAGTTCATTGACAAAAATCGAACGCGTTCAAGTTTACCTTCAAAAAAAAGGAACCGTGCTATAAAATTTTTAAAAAAAATTTCTGTTAATATTTATTAATATTATAAATAAATACCACATATTTTTTTAACACAATATATTAGCCATGTTTAAAATTATTATTTATAGTTACAGTGTGCAAAAAAATATTTTCTTTTTAAAAAATTTTTTTTTATAAATTTTTAATATAAAAATTTATTATATCATATGAAATTTAGTTAAATTTAATATATCATATGAAATTTAGTTATTTATTATATAAATTTATAATACACACATTGCGTTCAACTTTAAAAACTTAATAAAAATTTTAATAATAATAGCGAAATTTCAAATAATCAAAAATAGGTAACTATTATAATATTAAAACTTAAAAAAATAGCTCCATATAATTTAAATTTTTGTAAGCCAATGATTAATGCAACTGCAAGACTTAAATTTTGGCCCTGGATAAAATTAGAGGTCAACGAAGGGAAAAAGCTCGAACATATTTCCAAAATTGAGGAAAGATCTTGGTTTATTTTAAGTTAAAATTCAACAAAACAAACTTGATTCCTTTCTGATATAAAAAAAATAATGAGAATCTGAATGAAGATTCTCTTGAAGATGATCTATTAAGCTATTTTAAAAATAAGGATTATTTTTAATTTTATTAAATTCCTAAAATTAAAATTTTTAATTATTATAATACAATAACAACCACTCATCCTTTGCGCCCAGGTGCGTAGCTAATATCTTCTAAGGGGTGGGGATTAATTTTTTTAATATTGATATGACTTTTTTCGGAGCATTAAAAATTAAAATTTATTAGAACTAATCATCATTAAGAACCAATCATTTCTGAAAATATGATATTCGAAACAAATAATAAAATATTGGATAATACAAAATATTAAAAGCGAATATAATAAAATTAATATTACAGCTATATAAACAGGTATGTAGATCACAATAAAATATAAAATTAAACATTTTAAAATGATTTAAAAAGTTAGTCAAAATATCGTTCATAGAAAATTTAATCTTCTTTGCGTTTGGCCAATTTTTTAATAATATGTTTTGTGTTGTGGATTATTGATAAGTAAAGCTAGTCTGCCGATCAATTTTAAGTAGTCATATTTTGACATTGGTTTTTATTCTCTGTAATAAAGAAAAGATCCTCTCATTTGTGTTTGTACTTAATTTGGTAATCATTGCCAAAACATACAGTAATTTTAATATATTTGAAATAGGTTGTTAAAGGTTCGAATTTTAAAAACTGTCAACCCAATATTTTAGCCAAAAAATGTTATGCAAGTCTCTAGATTTCGCTAATAGATGTCCCAATCTTTCTGCCATCTACGACAAAATCTCCAGGCTTGCATATTATTCTTGGATGAAATATTGGGTTGACAGTTTTTAAAAATCGAACCGTTAACAACACTAATTTAGAAAACTTATAAAATATATTTCATAGTATGCAAGCTTTCATCTATTTCTTGGAGGAATCTACAAAAATGAATCCTTAATACCATTTAAATTCTTAAAATAATTGGCTATCAGATACATTAATATCTAATGAAAGAAATTTAGCTAAATATTTAATTTTTCAATATTAAGATTCGATATATTCTTAAATCAGGAATTATGAGATTTAGTATATTTAAATTGGATAGAGTCACTTGATAAATAACAAATCGTTCTTTGATTTGAGTAAAAATTGAATCCGAAAGTGGAATAATGACCTTCAATAGAATCCACGTTAATATTGGAACGATTTGTTTGTCGGTAAAGTCTAGGCTGGTGGATCTCAAAATCATATAATTTCACTTTCACCTTGACAATTATATAGATCTCGAGAAATTCCGGCCGATATTATCTCTCGGCCTTCTAAGCTGTAAAATATAATAATTTCATGATTCTTATATTTTCAGCCAAATCCATTTTTTAAAAAATTATGCATAAAATTGTAGTGAATAATAAATAATTTATTATTACAATCCATTGAATAAAATAGGCAGTTATATTGAATCTAATAATGTATCAGCTTCAGATAATATATCTGTTTCAGGTGATTCTGATATTCCTCTAAGGGCATACAAGAGAGGCTCTTCCAGATCTAACTTTGTAAAGCTTGATGTCGAAGGCTCCATCTTGTCGTGCAGACTGTTTGCAGTTTATTTTTTCTTGTAGCACAAGAAATCTTAGAATTATATTTAGCTAATTCTGCCTAACATTTTATTCTGGAAATTTTTTAATCACAGTTATTAGTAGTATAAATTAAATAAAATTATTTTTGCTTGATAAATTTTTTTATAATCCGCCAGTATTTAAGGTTTAAAAAATGTAAGAAAATAAACTTTAAATTTTCTTGAGATATATATGCAATAAATATTTAAATTAATTTTACTTTTTGCTAATATTTAGAATAGAATATAACCTATTTGAAATAAAATACTTTGAACTTCACAATTCATAAAGACCTTTTATATTTTGTCAAAAAAATTTGATGGGGTGAGGGGTGGGGGGGGGGGGGTGGTATTTTTCTCTTCTCTCCCCAGCTGGGTACGCGCCTTTCTACGCCAGTTGAACGTGTGTTTATCACGGTAAGCTGTGTTGAGCACTAAGCGCTCTCGTTTATCTGATTATTAAAAATAAATAAGAAATTTTTACAAAATATCTTATCTTATAATATATTATTTTTGTATTATTTTATTTATATTATTTATATAGATAAAATAAAAGATCTTATCTTATATTATTTTTGCATAATTTTATTTATATTATATATTATATAGAGGAATTTTTTTTTTATATAATATTTTATTTTTTAAGTAATAAGTAACGCCTTACTTATTTATATAACCAGTAGCATGCGGTACTTTTTCCGCAAAGTAGCGAATAACGGCAACGCGTTCCTTTTTTCAGACTTATCATAACGCGTTTCTTTTCTGAAGTAACGTTTACAACTATATCATCCCCCAAAGAACGGAATCACCAAATTGGGTTCAGAAAAATAACATGATGTATTCTGGAGTCGAACCCATAACCATCGGATTGGCAAGCGACGAACTTATTGACTAGGCCACAGACGGTTTCCGAAAATTATGATTTTCAAAAATACATCATAGCCATATTTAGCAGTACCTATACAAATGCAAAAGTAAACAAAATAAATAGTTAGGTTTATATTTATAGTTACTCATGATATCGACCTTAGAATGCTTGTAACCATAAAATCTTTCTGTAAATTTATTAGCCAGAACGTTGCTAAAACTGGTTAGATATTGACAGTGACTACTTGAATGTGTAGGATCTATTTGCCTCTATATATCTTTCCGGAGAAAAAAATATTTTAGGATAGACTAAGTATGCTGTCACCATTTATTATCTAGGAAGTTAGCCAAACATATTTATTCCGATTTATTTAATTGTATTCAATAAGTGATCAAGAAATTTTTCTAATAATGTAGTTAGTATCTAGCTAATCCATGATAAATTTTATATTTAGAAAAGTGTTGAAATAACAGTATATTTTTTCCAAACCTACATGCGCTGAGGATAGATTATATTCTACTTAATGAGGGCTAAACTTGTCTTTTGGGAGAGTTTTTATAGAATTTTATTTGCTATTTATGGTTTTATTATAAAATAGATGTTAAATGACCAAATCAGCTTTAGAAAATGAATAGAAATAAGTTATTGATTATCAACCGGCAGGATAAAACCTAGAAAAAATGTAACTATTCTTTCGGGCGAACCGGCTTGAACCCAGGGTAGGTTACCTTATAAGTTGATATATTATTACTCTATATTAATTATATAAGTGTATAAACAAAAACCGTAGAAAACTTAAATATTCATGAATTTATAAGATGAATTTTCTAATGTCTGAATAAACATTAGCACACTAAAGTTTCTTAAGACCAGGTAAATTGGAGCAATGACATATAACCAACCTGACAACAAAATAAAATACAAGGTTAAAATAAGGGGCATTTAGATTAAACTAGGATATTATTTTCTGAGATCTCTCTACTTCTTAAGTGTAAATGAGATCACTGATATGGCTGTGAGAGATAATAGTGAGGAGACGATGAAGATTGATGAAACGATTGGCTTAGAAATTTGAACTACTTTTTATAAAAGAGATGAATAAAGGGGTAATAGGAAAAATCAGACAGATTGTATGTTGATTTTTAGAAAGAAATGCCATTAATATGTCATTCTTTTTTTTTTTAGCTATACGACATAATTTCATCTTCAATTTTAATCAATATCTTCCTACGAGATGATATCAACGTCTCCTTTCTCCCTGTGAATTGATAACATATCAAAATGGTTTCGCTTCAAATGGGCAATGTTATTTTTTAAACTTTAAATTATTTTTTGAGCGGGTTTTAAAATTTGAAAATCTGATCTTACTGAAAATGTATTCCAGATGTTTGGAATAACTATCTTATAAATTGTAGACAATTTTGCCGTTATATTTTAAAAAATTTTCCCAATATTTAGAAACATTGATACTTATTCCTATGGTTAAAGTAGTTAACACATTAAATTTTCATGCCGAATCATTCTTTTAAGCCTATTAGTTTTAGATATTACAACGAAAAAGATCCTGGACATATTACTAATTTTAAGATATTTCAATCAGTATTATGTTATTCGATAGCTTTTTAAGTCGCATAATGTTCTTTTTACAAATAAAATATCATTTTTCAATAAAAAAACATCGATTTAAGCTTTTTTTAAAAAATATATCAAGATCAAGATTTTAGCAGTAGCATCACTAGATATGGGGGGAGGCGCAGAGGCTTGAGTCCCCTGAAAAATTTGAAGAGCCCCCACAAATTTTGAATTTATTTTTATACCACTAAAATAATAAAAAGGGACATCTTGGATAGTGTTCGCAAAAATAAATGGTAATTTAAGATATTAGCTTAATAAGAAGGTAGTTTTAGATAATGTTACCTAAAAAAAGAAGGTAATTTTGAAAATAATTTTTTTGAACCCCGTGAGATTGTAAAGGCTAGTGAGCCCCTGGACTTTAGTTAAAATAATTAATACCTAAGCCCTCAGGTCATTGTTAAATTTGAGAGAAAGGAAGGGAGAAAGGTTTGGCTCAATTCTGGCGAAATCTTATATATTATTATTTTGACCAAAATCTTGATTCAGTCATTTTTTTTAAAAATAAGCTAAATTGATTTTTTTGGCAATAACAAAGTCCTTATTTAAAAACATCTTTATCATAATAACTTAATTAGGACTGAAATATGAAAAGGGCAGATGTTGAAGTTAGGAAAAATATTCTATTTTTTTCAGTATTTCGTTCACAAGCTTCTTTAGTGGGTTGGTTTAGGTTCGGGTAGAAATTCATTTAACGGTACGTTAAAGGTTCGGGTTGGATCCCTGATTTAAACAGTATTTGTACAGTGGAATGGATATTATTTTTAAATTTTGTACACTCGATTAACTAAGTCTATGATAAAAATGCAAGCAAGTGTATGTGACAAAAAATCGGCATCATTATATTTAATGATTTGTCTTTATTTATTATATATAATATAATTGTTTTATAATGGGAAATACATTTTGGTGATATAGGATTGTTGTAATTTTAAGTTTTAAAAAAATTTTGGAATGCTTCATAAATTTATAAATTAAAAATTTTTAAAAAAAATTAAATATAATATTTGAGCGGTTTTAAATGGTTGCAAAATGTAATATAAAACATAAATAAATAAAGGACTCAATTATCTAATCGAAATTATAAAAATAATATGGAATATCAGAACATCCATGTTAATCATAAAATTAGGAAGTATATAAAAAATATATATATAAGGCCTTTAAAAATATGTATAATATTATTTTTTTTAAAAAAATGATTGTTAATTTATTGATTGCAAATATTAAAGTTTTTAAAATTTGATTGAAAAAGAATGATATACTTAGATTGCATATTTGAATTAGTCAATTTTAAATAATCATAAATTATAATCGATAACTTGTGGTAAATCATTTTTAGATTATTATATTTTTTTCCCCCTCAAACATTATACATCAAATCGAAGGACTTGGTCAATATTTCGCTTGATTCTTTTAGTGGATCTACTTCTTCACAAAATACATCAGTAATGCTGGAATCATGATAAAAAGGCATCGGAGCGGATTCGTAAACGCATTGATAATTCTCAATTTTTATTTTCCGTGCAGATATTTGAGAGTCACGAATAAATTTGAGATTCAAATTTTCGTAGATAAAATCTTGATCGTTAGAATTAAAAGAATTATTTTCAGTAGAACCCGAATTACAGTCATCTGCTATAAATCTATTGTCACTATTCGTAATGATTTTGACATTATTCGAAGAAGGGTAAGATGTGGGTGAGTAGTCGTCTTTGTATTCTTGTTTGATTTGAATTGCTGAAGTTTCCACGATAGTGTCAATAGCAGGGAGAGGTGATCCAAACTTTGAGTTGAGGTTATTTAAAGGATATATGGGAACTCTTAGGTTGTTAGTAATTTCGTAAGGAGATATTTTAGCATCGCATTCTGTTTGTGTGTCTAAAGAAGAGAACCTATTAATATTATCAGTTTCCCTGGAACACACCGAACATTCTTCGTTGTAATAATGACTTGAGGTGGTTAGAATGTTGCATAAGATTGAATCTGCTAAATTAATCTTATTACCTAAACTATAATCGTAGTTTTTATTATTGTATTTGGAAAAATTTGAATAATCTTGTGACAAAAATTTGGCGTTGGCACCTGAGCAAAATTGATTTTCAATTAGTGATTTAGAGCTTTCCTGGTAAAAGTTTTGTTGGTGTATAGTATCATGATACAAGATATTATTAGAATTATAGGGTGAATTTTTTATTAGATTTTTGTTAGTGCAATGACCAGAAGAATAAATTTCCATGTAATCACGTAAATTATTGCTGAAATTTTGATCATTTTTGGTTATAGGGATAGATGAGCTGTTATAATATGATGTTTCTAAGTAATTCTGCTTTTTGTGAACTTTCAATTTTGGTAAAGTCATAGTTGGTTTTCCTAAATTATAATAGGAGTTCATATCGAATGACGAATTGACAAGTAATGAATGGTGATACGCAGGATAGTTATCAAAATGATTATCAACTTTATAAAGATCGTTTCCTATGTGATTATTATTATTACCTTTTAGCTTATTGGGCTTAAAGGATTTGTTTTGATTCCCCGAATCCGAATTATTGCATAAGTTGTTGCGTAAATGTAAATTTTTGATCCTATTTTTAGCGAAAGAAGAAGATGCTGATCCAATAAATTTTGAAGGAATGCTAAGAGGCGTTGAACATTTTTGGTTTGTTGAATTAGAAGTATGTACCACGCCATTCAGAGGTTTACGCCTTCTCGGTCTATATTTGTAATCTGGATGCATCACCATATGTAATTGTCTCAATCTTTCGGCTTCGTCGACGAATGGTTTTTTATCGCATGTTGTCAATGACTTCCAAGATTTTCCTTAATAATTATATAGCAATTAATAATATTTTTTAAAAATAGAAGGATTTTTAAAACATTTTATTGATTTAGAAAATATTTTAGGCCTACATTTCGACGTTCTAATTGTAAATGAGTGTGAAAAAGTTCTATTAACCTTCATTTGGCGGCCGAAGTGACTAATACAATAGACTCATGGGCCAATTAAACAAGTCGAATTTGTGTCTGATTAAAATTAAAACTATCCACTCGGAAATTTTTATAGTTTAAAAATATTTTTTATTACATAGTATTAGCCGCTCCTTTCAATAATGTAACGGAGAGAGATGTATTTCATTCATAAAATACAAATGAGAGTATACATTTTAAATTTAAGCGCAATGAAATTTCTCACATTTATTCTTAAGAAAAAAAGTTATTTAATTTTTCCGTATTCAATTCCCCTTTTAGAAATCCTTAATATGATTACAGGTTAATATAATTTCAGATATTTATAGCCGAATCGTCGGTAAAATCAAACTGATAACGTGGGGTCAGGCGCGTAGGCAGGAATTTGGTCTGAGGGGGGGGGGATAATATATTTTTTAAGAAATATTATTGTTTTTTAAAAATATCAAGCATAAATTTATTAGGACTAATAACTATTTCTAATACAAAATTTTAAATTGATGTGAATTATAAAAAAGTTATATGTAAAGAATCACTTAAATGTCCCAAAATAGAAATTTGAATTTTTTGAGCCTTTACACAAAAAGTTTCTTAAGAATAATTGTATTTTGTATGACATATATTTACAATGTAAAATGCAATCTTCGTTGGGATTGAGCTAATTTTTCAATTATCTCATCCTTGCTTGTCGTCAAAAGCCTATGAATATTCAAAAGATCCAAACCTTTCAATCTACTCAGATGTTGTACTTCTTGGTATGTTTTTCAAAGACCTGCAAGCCCGACCCCTGGGCCGGACAGTATTTTAATTTTTTTAAATATAACCGGACCGGGCTTGAAATTTTTTTAAAAAAACACCCAAACCGGGCCTAAATTATTTTTAAAAAACACCCAGGCCGGGCTGTATTTTTTAAAACAGCCTGTATTTGAAATCGTTATTATTAGCTATAAAAATCAAAAATAAATATAATTTATTTTAAAAAAATCCGGGCCGGGCCTGAAAATTTTTTTAAAAAAGCCGAGCCGGGCTTAAAAATTTTATTAAAATAAGCCGGGCCTGGTCTGAAATTTTTTTTAAAAAAACCCAGGCCAGGCCGTAAAAAATCTCTAAAAAAATCCGGGCCTTGCTCTGCAAATGGTACTTCTGCAGGCCTGTTATTCTTCTTAAAAAAGAGAATGTTCTCTCATTAGTTTACTAATGGGAAGAGTTTATAAACCCTTTTAATACATTGAGAATTTAATCTAAAATGTGCTTGAAATAATGCATAGCATCCATAGCATTTTTTGGGACTATATCAACCATAGTTAATCTTATAAACATAGTTATTCAGCTAGTGACATCATAAGATACTTTAACATCTTCATGATAAAAATCTAACAAATATTTTTTTTTCTATCACCATCTGAAAAAGGTTGGGAAGGCTTTTGTGGAAGTAATATTTACAGATTAGTAAGTGCTGCATGATGAATTAAAAATTCATTTATTTGGGTTATAAATGAATCTGTATTTAAGATATACTCTTCTACTGATCCTATATTAATGTTTTAACGATGAGCTTGCCTTGCTACAAGTCGAGGGAGACAAATATTAAACACGTATAGGTCTGCTTTTGACTTAACAATAAAATAAAAAATATGAAATTCTTCACCAACATTAGCCCTAATTTCCTTGAGTTCTGATAAAATGCTCTCCGCTATTCTCATCTTCTTAATCAAGTCAATGTCATCTTTTTGAAAGATAATACTTAAAATAGTTGTATAATTAAATAATACATTCTAATGAGAAATAAAATTTGGAATAAGCATTGAATCCAATAATTTCTTTCAGGTTATTGTGATATTTCAGTAATAGCAAATAATTGGCTCTTCTAACTCCTTAAAAGCTGTTACTGCTTGATGGCAGAGACTCTATCTCGTTGGACAAGGTTGCAATTTCTTTCTCCCTGTTGGTCAAGAAGTTTCAGAAATAATTATTATTTGACTAGAAATTTGAAAATGGTAGATAAATATTAAGCTACTAAAAATTTGAAAATAATAAGTAAATAATCGAAATTAATTGATAAAATAACTTATGAATGTGATAATAAATGTAAAAATATATATTTAATATGAGATACGAATAAATATTAACAAATATAAATTATAAACAATAATATATTTTGAAAAATATATCCGGCATCTGCATTTTTTGGCTTTTGGAAGGGGGGGGGGATTTGTCCCCCTGACCCTTCCACTGCGTACGCACCTGCGTCAGGTTGTGAAGTAGCAATTAGTGTTCAGGTCTAATAACTACCCATAGGCTTATCCAGGATTTTGCTATGGAGAGCGACAATATTATGTGAGGTCTCCCCCCATAAATTTTATTGGAGCTCTCTTTAGGTCCACTTCTTGTAGGTCTTTGGTTATATTATATTTTATAAAAATAATTTCGGGTTTACTTTTTTATAAAAATCTGAATTATAGTCGTTATTTTTAAAACTTATTAACTTTTACCAATATTTCTTTCAAATTCTACTTGATAGTGATATATTGTGTTTTTTTGGGGAGAGAGGGTTGGAGAGGGGGGATATAGGGGGATTTTTATTAGTTAAATGAGATTTTATAGAGAAATAAATGGATATGGATAGTTTAAATTAGGAACGAGGCGCCCAAGAATAGGGGGAGGGACTATATATTAAAAATGAAATGTTAAGGGTTAGCAGGAGTCCCTTTCTATAGATCATGCACATATATAAATATGAAGTGAGCATTACTCTGACGATTGAATTTAATCTGATTAAATAGGATAATTAGTAGAAAATTGAATAGGTACAGATGTGGGCTTAAGAGGCAGAGATTGAAGAAGAACATATGAGACTTAAAGAACAAAACAAAAGTTTCATTGAAAAGAACTAACAAGTGGGATGGATAAAAGACTATATCTCAAATATAATTTCAGAATATATTGAATAATCATGAGACCGAAATTTTAAATATTGGGCTCTCAGCCAAGAATGGTTGGTAATGTTGTTTTTTTTTAAGAAGGGATGTTATCAAAATAAACAGTTTTATTTCCTTGTTAAGACAAAAACGCAACAATTTGGTCTCTAGAATCTAATCGATCATGACTCTTTCAGGTCTATAAAATGGATCTTCGATTTATATATTTTTGATTGTATAGTATACACACCAATATTATAAACAACAAATTTACTGTTAACAATTTAAAGTCAGCTTCAAGTTCCTTGTTAAGTGTCAATTAATATTATAGCATAAAATTTACCTAACTTTTTATAATAACCTTAAGTGGATGTTCATAATTAGAAATAAATTAGGAGGGGTATTAATGCTTCATCGCGTTGTCCCACCCTTCTCAGGTCAATAATTGTTATTGTTGTGCTAGTTATAACCGTGATCTTTATAATAAATTCTTATATAATATAACATACAAGGTTATATAGAAGTAGTGACCACATAAGTAATAATTAATTTTTTAAAAAAATTTATGGAACTTTTAAATTATTTTTTGACATTATGTCAATTTAAAAACTTTTTGCTTTTTTAAAGATTATTTTTTATAATAATAATAATAGCAAATCATTACTTCACCAAAAAGATATAAAATAATGTGAAATAATCATAAATCTAAAAACTGTTAACAGCTTTTTAACGTTTTTATTTTTATTTTTTTTCAAAATGAGGGAATGAATGGCATCACTTTTTCCTTTTAGAACAATGAAGGCAATTTTTTTTTATGAAATGTTATTTTATAATATCGTGATTAATAAACTGCCTGTATTTTTTACAAATGAAAATTAATTATAAAAAAGAGAATTTGCGCAAAATTATGAGATTTTGGTTGAAAGAATTAAGAAATAAATTTTTCAACATAAATACAACATTTTTAATGAGAAAAAAAGGAGAAACACAGAGAGAGAAAGGTGAAACAGAGGCCAAGAAACTGTTAAAGGGTGTTTTAATTTTTTCATAATTTAATAAAAAAATTTATAGTTTTAATTTAAATAATTTATAATATATTTTAAAATAATTAATCATGTTTTCTTTTTTTCAAGCAGCACTCTTGTGTTTAAATGATGAGAAAGAAAAGATTAATAATCAACAAAAACTGTATATTTTTCTTTTTTAAACAAGTTAATAGTATTGCAGTTGCATTTCTATTGTAGATCTCTCTGCCCCCCCCCCCTCCAGCCAATAATATTGATCCCTTCCCTAATAACTAATATACAAGATTATTTAATAATAAAATATAAATTAAATTTGTATACTAAGAGTGTACTCCCTGAGTTACCCACTAAAATTTCAATTATATAATGGCATTGTATTATTATATTATCCTTTTCTAGGAAGGGACAAAAGTGTGCTATTCATGCCAGTTTCAATAATTTAAGATAGTTAAAGCTATATGCCAGGCGCGTACGCAGGAATTTGGTCTGGGGGGGGGGGAGGATAATAAAATTTTTTAAGAAATATTATTGTTTTTAAAAATATCAAGCATAAATTTATTAGGACTAATAACTATTTCTAGGAATAATTTCATTTTGTATGTTATATATTTACCATGTAAAATCCAATCTTCGTTATGATTGAGCTAATTTTTCAATTATCTCATCCTTGCTTGTCGTCAAATACCTATGAATATTCAAAGATCCAAACCTTTTAATCTACTTTCAGATGTTGTACTTCTTGGTATGTTTTTTAGAGACCAGCAAGCCCAACCCCCGGGCCGGACAGTATTTTAATTTTTTTTAAATATACCCAGGCCGGGCCCGAAATTTTTTAAAAAAAACACCCAAGCCGGGCCTGCTTTATATTAAAAAAACACCCAATCCGAGCTGTATTTTTTAAAACAGCCTA